TTGCCACTTCCATTTCATAACATAAAATATAGGGGTAACCACGCGTTTTTTAAAGTTATTGATCCTTTTTAAAACTTTTTATGGTGCCTGTTACATTTCTTCCTGTCACCTCCCCAGTAAGTCAAACATTTGCGTATCTCGCGCTTGTTTTGCGCGCGCACTACGCCATCTGCAGGTACATGTTTACAGTTGGATTTCAGGATAATTTTCGACAGATAACAGCTAGTTTTTCAGCTGGAAGACGTTAACAGTTCGTTGTTAGTGATATGCTGCTGTTCTGGTGTTCCTGGTTTAAGTACAGGTTCATTAAACTTGATTTGGTCACNNNNCGTCATGTCAACCCAGCGCGCGCGTGGCGCTTAAACCATGCCTTGCGTAATGCGCAGAACGTGTGCGCACTATATAACAAAAGTAGGCACCGTCCTTAAAACGCCCTCGTTTGTAGGGCAAAAGTGGACGTGTGAACGGGCGGAGGTTTCACTGCGTTAGTTTCCACGGGCAATTCAGGATTGTCACAAAAAAAGTGGCAAGCCCGCTTACTCAGTCACATAAGCTTGCTCGTGTCTGCGACTAAATGGGGATTTAACGATATGCTTACCTTAAAGTAAACTAAACCTTTTAGAGCGCTGCTTATTTTGATAGCCAATACTTCGCATCTGTAATCAAACTGATGTACACCAAGGGACCCGACAAAGGCGTTAACGCACATAGCCAAGGCACAAACGTAAAGAAGATATCTTTGTTGTGATTCAGCTGCCATCAGTGTAGAGACGAGATATCCAAGAAACAGCGGCTGAAGAAGGCGAGAAACCGTAAACAAAACAGTCGTTAATACAATTATGAAAACGTCTTTGATAGAGACCATCTTTAGAACGCTTTTCCATAGGGACGGTTTTTTTCCATTTGTGTTGCAGTTAGTTCTTTCCTGGCTCCAGCTTGTTTCAAGCTGTTCAGTTAACAGACAAGTGGAGTTTGCTTTCGAAAGAGGCAAAAAGTCATGCTGCTCTAAAGCTCGTTCACCTCCAGTCTTAAAGATTACGTTCATCCAGGTAAACAAAAGAAGGGAGGCAAAGCTGGATTTTTCTTCATCGTCTTCAGTGGAGATGGTCTTGTACCCACCCTTTGCCATGACTTCTCATCTAGATCTTTAAACGGAGAAAAACACAGTTTGTCTTAATCTCATTAGACTTAAGAGCAGCTCCACCTTAGTATATTACTGTTAGCCGTAACAGTATTAAAAAAAGCCAAAAATATGAACCGTTAGCTGTAAAAGCCATCACACCATTGAGACACCCTGTGGCTAGTACTGCAAAATACCTTTACTTCACATACATGAACTTGGTCCCGAAGACTCCAGAATTCATGCAATATTTACTTCT